TTATGCCAAGCCAAAGATTTTAAACTCTTATCTTGTAACTTAGCAGACAAAACCAAGAAGTCTTCAAAACACAGATACGCATCTGTGGATCAAAGTTTGGTAAATGCTGCTTTAAAAATACTCTCACAGCTGAGTCAGAGATAATAGCCTTTCATGTGGTGTCTCTTAACTCATAAAAGATTATTTGAAGCACTATGCCCATAAATGTGCACATATGTCTTATTAATGCCAACTGAAAGCATACTTGTGGAATACAGAACAGATACTTGAATCTTTAATCTTGAAACAAAATTAGAAATAATGTATTTAATAAACTCATTAAAAAGAAAATCTTAATGCACTTACTTTAGCATAACAGGAAAGATAGAAAGAAAATACCAAAGTAGGTTTTGGTAAGGTCTCTCATTGTAGATAACAGCTCTCTATGTCAGGATAAGACCACAGCAAAGTAAGCCAAACCATTTCTTGCCCTTTTCATATGCAATCCTCACACACATGACTGCAGTTGATATTTTGCAGGGGAAAAACCCTCAGAAATTATTAGTTTTATTAAACATTCTGCCATAGACCCTGCATTTGGGTTCAGTAGAATGTTTGGCCCCGATGACAGAACAGAAAAGAAACAAAGATCTCCAAACAAATGGATGGTATTGCTCAGACTAACCCAGTCTTCAGAAGCACATTTCCTCCATTTTCCTCAGCAGCTGCTCTGTGTGGAAGTGGCAGAAGTGAGGAGACTGAGTGAATCTTCCATGGTACTGAATAAACAGGTTTCCTGGAATCCAGGTTGGACATTTTGGGTTACAAGTGCTTCTTTTGGGTCTGAGTAAGAAAGCAAACAGTTGGCCTTCAATGTTTCCTTCCATTTGCTAACAGCATCTAAGTAGTAAAATTAAAACATCATGTTTATTTCCATCATTCACACACCTTTTAATTCAAGGTGTTGGTGCAATATTTAAGATATGCAGCGAACTGATATGCCATGAAGTAGAAACCATTAGAAATTCTTCTGTTCATGGAATTAGATGTGGCTGACACAGGCCCCTTATTGAATAGTGTTCATCTCAAAGGGTAAAGAACATCATCTTAAATTTCATGGGGGATTTCCTTCTGAGGACTGAAATATTGTAAGATCCAATATAAACCCATCAGTTGAGCACAGTTGAAGGATCTTACTCATCTCTGTAGGAACAGAAGCCAGAAAATTCCCACCACATATTCTATTTAAAGGAAGCAAATGAGTTATTTTGGCAGTGTCTCAGTCAGGACTCCCAATGCCTTAGCAGGCTCTGAATAAACTCTAAATTATAACAAAAGAGAGAAAATCTCCAGAACACGTGTTTTTTGGGTTTGGGGGTTTTTTTGTTTGGTTGGTTTGGTTTTAAAAAAAGCCCATTTAAGAAAAAACACAAACATTTTGGAAGTTATGAGAGGAATCTAATTGTTTTCTTAAACTAGTTCTACACCAATGAACTTTAATAGGTATTTTTAAAATAGAGGCAGAATTGCCATTACCAGCTTTTGTCAAGCTCCAACGATAAATTTTTGGATTAAAAAACTGTCATGAAATCCGTTCAACACTATGGCATAGGGTCACAAAGTACTTTTATAAATAGCAGTAATAGCTTATGCTGTTTCTTTTATGAAGAAAGCCAAGAATAGCAACAACCAAAATATACTGTGCATTCACAGAAATTCCTTATTCTACAGAAAAAGCTGCAACCAAGTGAAGTTTGATGGAGAATAAGCATCCTTTGGCAAGCCATGGTGTGCAGTTTTCTTCAGCCAAAAGGCTTTCACATGTACTTTGCTTCACTTCCTCATATGAAACTGGGGATGGGGATTCCTTTTACTGTGCATATGGTATAGACATGAAACCTTGTGGAATGGATCCTTACACCAGACATTTTCCTTTGTTGAGCTAAAATGAGCACTCAGGTGCCAATAAAATACTGCAGAAACTGTATTAGAAGTATAAGCAAAACAAGTATATGCACTGGAAGTGGGAATGGCAACAAATTAATTATTTGTTTGTTTTAGTGTCTTCCTAACAGAAGTGTTAATTCAGTGTAGTTTACATTAAAAATTCTAATGCAAAAACTTTTCAAAATAAGCCTTTCATTAGTGGTCATAAGACACTGAATAGCTGAGCACAGATCAGGTTCTCAATAGTGAAACCACAACTGTCGTCTTCTAAATAGTTTGAGAAGCCTCTGCAGTCTCTACAAATGTCAGAAAAATTAATTTCTTCCTAAAACTGACTTCGAAATGCTTTTTGGAATAAAAAGGACTATTACTTAACTTCTTAGACCTTGAAAACCAAGGCACAGAGAGGGAAGGACTGGCAGCCAGCCAACCAAATTCAGGAAGGAATGAGATCTCCCAAGGCTCAGCCTACTACTTTTGACCATTAAACAAAGGTTTTCATCCACATCATATTTTCATAGGAAGAAAATTAAAAAATAAAAGAAATAATTACCCCTTGCTCAGTTTTTCGTCCCACCCAGAGCAAAATGCAAATGCAAGCATAGGAAATAAGTGCCCATCTTTGGCTGACCTTATTTCACAGACTGTAACCATCAAAATTAAGAGCTCTGCTCCCCCAGCAGCTGTCGTCCCAAAAGAGGATGCCACTTTTCAAAGATGACCAGATTGCTCATAATTTGCTAAAAGAATTTAAGTGAGGCATTTAAAACAAATAAAAGCTCAAATGGTCACTATTAAAATGTCAGAACTCCTCTGGTAAACACTGAAACTGTTGACATTTTAAATGTCAACTATTTCATATTTCTGCACTATAGCAGAAGCCCTTTATCATTTAAAAGGCACTGTCCATTTTTTTAAACTTCTTGTTTGTGGAATTTCTTTTTAATTTTCATCAGTTCATTCAAGACAACATTATGTCCAATTTAATTCCAGCATGTATGTCCCAAACATAGATTACTTCATTTTGCCTTTTATGGTAGCCAGAACAAATCAAGGCTAAGCCTTCTTGGTACCTTTTCTTACAGTGTCATCACTTACCTTCTTTCTGTCTAGAACACATCATTGCTAATGTGCAGAATTCCAATCATGCATGACTAATACTAAGCTGGTAGTAGTCTCACCATCAACTCCTGGTGTAGTGGTGTTTCCAAAAGGCTTCATTCCAAACTCAGCCTGTTTTCCCTGAGGTCATTTTAATGGGAGGGACAGGGCAATGCTGACTGTGCTTGAAAACTGCACAACTCTAAAGAAAGTGATTTGGAAAATACCAACACAGAGCTCTTGGGAGCAGTACACAAATTAATTCTTATGGTCCTAGAGGCTCCAATGCTGAAAACTGTTCTGCACAAGCAGCTTTCCTTGTATACATTCCATAGAATAGAAGGGAGATCATAGGTCTCCAAGGAGAAGACTGCTCCAACCAAATCACAGTAGCTTTACTACTATACTACTTAAAATAAAGGCTCTGGAATGAATAGGGCTGGTAAAGAAGCTTCTTATCTCTGTGTCCTTGTTTAGAGTCTTCATAGCCCACATTTTCAAGTACCTTAGAATACACTGAAAAGCGTATCAGTGACTACAGCTGGTCACTGCTAAAAAAAAAATCAGATTGCTTCCTTTGATTTTAACTGTCATCTCTGTTATCTTCCAAGTATGGAGTTTATATTCTAAAATTATTTAAACAGCTTAAAGTTTGGATTACTTAAGAACTCTGCTACTGCAACAGGGAAAACTGTAGCGGCTTCATTACAGCTGAATTGGTGTTTCTGTTATCAGCCTTCTTTCATGGAGGATGCTCTGTCAGAATATAAATATTTCCGTGGAGATGAACATGAAGTGCTCAACTTCCATACACCACCACCTGGCTTTTACCTGCAGAAGCAGGACAAGTGACTGTTGGCCGCTTTCCAAATTCAAGATACTGCCTAGCTGTAGGAAGCTGAGGATTTATTGCTTCATTGATATGTTAAGGCCTTACCAAAAGTAGAACTCCTATTCCATCCTTGATTTTTGAGGCCCAGAGAGCAGAGTCCAAATTAACATGTGGGCTATTGTGACTGAGTACAAAACAGATTAGTATATATTCATCACCATGAATAAAACCCTCCAGTTTTAGCAATCCAGTGTATATTTCACATACAGAGCCTGTGAATCCTGTTATTTTCTGTGGCATGTGCTCATTTCCAGTGTTTTGTAAATCATGCTGGATTGTACTCAAACTGTGTAAGGCCAGAAATAGACCTGTTCTGCTTCAGACAGAATTCCAAAGATCACACAGAGGTTTGGACTGGAGGGGACCTTTAAAGCTCATCTAGTTCCAAGCCCCCTGCAATGAACAGGAACACCTTCAACTAGATCAGGCTGTTCAGAGCCCCGTCCAACTGGACCTTAAATTTTTCCAGCTACAACCTCTCTGAACAATCTGTTAAGACCCCTTCATGCAAGTCAGGAGGCACTTTAATACTTCTCTCCTGTGACAGGTAGCAATGGTTAATTCCCAAAGAGCTTTCTCTAGGAAGGCAACACAAGTATAGACCTTATACCTTCTGTTAAATCTCTAAGGAATTATCATTGAACCTCTTTGAGGTCAACTGGTGCCCATTACAGAGAAATACAGAGACAAATGCAGGGTTCTGGGACCATTTTGCAAGTTCTTGTAGCCAAAATTTGAGCTTTACTTAACTAGCAGAATCTAACAACTTTTGGTTGAAGTCAAGCAAGGGAACAGTTTGCATGTGTTCATTTTTCAGGGAGTCACACTGCCCATGTGCAACAGGATCGACCATCTCAGCGGCCACCACCTCTGGTCATCACAAAATGCTGCAGTTCCAAATGAAATACAACACAAGTCTCAAAAGGAGACCAAACATGCACCGTCTGGCCACATTTATTACTGGATATGACAAGGTCTAAAACAAGTGAAAGGTTATATTCTCAAGCTTACAGTGCTGGACAGGCACCAGAGCTGGGAAACACTTTCAGATTTCATATCACCATCTCCCCCATGGTCTTCAAATGACTATAAAAGGAGAGCTTTCCAGTAGGCCAGTTTCCACATAGGAGCTTCCATTGTGAGAGGACAGATTTTCAAGAGATGTTAAACACGATTAGATGCCAGCTCAAAATCTCTGGTGGTTGATCTGCATGCATAAAATTAAGTACCATCTCCCTGCCAGGTCTGGTCTGGCATAATGCTTAATGTTGTAAACTTCAGATGTTCTCATTACACATTTGTAGCTTTGCATAGCACAATGGAACTAAGATTTATTAGGGCTTTTAGCCCTAATAAAACACAGAAAACTAAGAAAGATTCCAAATAAACTCTCTTTCCCCCCTTCAAGTGGCTCTTTTACTTCACTTACTGACAATACAACCCCAGGAGAGAGGTAACAGACAAAGGAGAACAAACACAAAAATATTTGCCTTACTCTTTCAAAGCAGTAACCAACGTCCCACTGTTTTCATAATCTTTGCTATGTCAAAGGCCACTTATGTTTAACTAATTAAAAATAAAGCCAAGAAAGAACAAACCAGCAGGGTAAAAGAAAATGAGAAAAATAAAATAGACTTGGGAAGTACAAACAAAATGGAGTAAATGTGAAAAAGGAAAGGGCTAACCTGACTCAACAGTAGAACTCCCAGGTGGTCTAGAAAGACATTTTTGGATATAAACGTATGAGCAAAATCACATTAAACAAATATTACCCTTGACATTTTTCACTCATCATTTTACACCTTTTCTTGGAATTTTCAGAGCAGCTACACTTCAGTCTGCAGCCAAAGTCTGCAATCAAAGTCTATCAGCAATTTGAAAAAAAAATTGAATTTTGCTAGTAGTAAAATATACTCCTGGTGAGAGTAACTAATTGCCCATTCCATAAAATAATTTTATTCCTTTTATTTTTTTACTTTTTCTTAATTTAGTTTTATTGTTTTTAATTTCATTTTTATTTTATTTATATTTTTATTGTATTTTATTTTTGAATTCTTCATTACCTGAGATGCTAAGGTTCTTAACTTACACTAGAATACAAAATTGACCACTGCAAGTATTACTACTATAAACAACAAAATCAACACATTCAAAACTTGAGCTGCTGAGGGAGATTTTCTCATGAAAGTGTCCCATCAATAGTTCTTTCTGTCTTCTTTCACTCGTTCGAGTATGTGGGGAATCTTTTCTACATCATGCTGGACCATAATTAGAGTCTTTCATCCATTTTCTTGGATTTGCTTCAATAGTTTCTGCAGGTCTTCATGATGCAATAATTCTGCAAGCAATACATAGTCCATTCTAGTGGGGGTGGGCTGGACCTCTCAAAATAACACACAGTCACATCCTAACAAGGAGTACAAAACAACTGGAGCTGCATAATTAAAATCACAACTGGAGCTGCATAATTAAAATCACACCCTCCAACGTTAACAAAATTACAAACACAGAAATTGGACTGATTACTGGTCATTAAAGAATGTTTATCTACATGCAGCAGGCTGCATGGGGTCCTCAAGCAAGCACAGCCCTTACCTTATGCAAACAATCACAGGTTTTGGATTTTCAAATGGGTGCATCTCATAATGACAAATGCTTTGTTCAGTATCTAGACAGATGTCCTGTGCTCTCATACTATTGCTCTCACAGATATATCCTTGTTCTTGTACAGTGCATGCCTCTACATCAATTGTTTGCCACTTATCTCCTTTTCTCAGGGCCCAGACAATGTCTCGGGTTCCAGTATAGTTCTGGCGTGACTTGCCCTGAAGGTGATAATTGGGTAGATCCCATTAATTTCAGCTTTTTGTACAGTTAGTACAAAGGCTGTAGCAACACCAGTAGTAGGATCAGGAGGTCAAATTAACTCATTACCACCACAATTGCAATTCCTATTCAAATTGTGTCACATTTTGCCAAATAACTGCACAAATTTCAGTTGATAAGATGCCACTTTCACCTTCCCTAATGATTGCCACTATCACTGTTTGTGTCCAAGCTTGAGCCTGAATACAACTCTGAGCCAAACAAACATTGGTCTGAGCTGACCCTAGAGCTTTTGCAATTAACAGATGATATGTTCATTAGTTTCTTCCCATGGGAGTAATGCTTCTAATGTGAGTTGTTGACTAGCTCCTAGGGTTGAAAGGGAAGATTTTAGGGGACTTTGCAGTTGATTCAAATCGCTGGTCACTCTTTCCAATCTATTTATTAATATTTAAGAATCCATGCTGTTCAAAATCCCTAATCCTGATCCTAATGCCCCAACTATATCTCTTCTAGTCCAATTCTTGAAGGTGAATGTACATTTGTGCAGCCATGCTGCCCATCCTGCATATGAAGTTTTAAGAAAAGGTGAACAGGACGGACTCCCAAGAACCAAAGGATCTCTCATAAAAATTTGAGGTTGCAGTTTTTAGTTTTCTTGTAGGGGTGGATTAAGTATTTTACATCCTACTCGTACTTCCTTTCCAACAACTTCAGCCAAAATGTTTGCACCACAGTGTTGATTCTGCCAACCTTTTAAGATTGTTGTGTCTCTTTGTAAGACCACAGCAGAGGTATTATATGTAGCCATTTGTTGATGATCATCTATATACATGGTCTCTAGACCAGAGAACCCACAATATGCTTGAGACCATGGCCAGTCTAAGGCAAAAGTCTGAGTCAGAGTTATTGTACTTATCAAAGATAAACACTGGGAAAACTTGACAGTAGTGGGTCTGCCTGGTTCTGACGTCCAAGCCTTCTCAGGTGCTTTCTTCACTCGTAAATAGTGAATCCATGCTCTTTGATCTTGATTGCAGTGAAGGTTGTCAGCAGCACTTGGTAGGGTCTGTTCCACTTCCCCTCCAGAGGTTGACCTGAAAAAGCTTTAACATACACTCAATCTCCGGGCTTAAAACAATGAACTGCATGGTCTACTCCTCTAGCTCTACTCCCAAGAACACTTTATTATATCCTTCAACTGTTTCCCTAGAGCTACTACATATTGCCTCAGACATTTTTTTTCCTTACTAACTCATGTCTTCTCTCTTGCACTGGATTTGATAAGGCCTTCTGCATAATATTTCAAACAGGCTTAGGCCTTCCTTAATTGTGGTTCAATTCTGATCCTAAGCAGGGCAAGTGATAATGCCTGATCTGACCCCAGATTAGCCTCTTGACCAATCTTTGCCAACTGCTGTTTGATCAAATGATTCATCTTTTCCACCTGCCCACTGGCCTGGGGACAGTAGGGACTATGCAATGCAACTGCCAGTCTATCCCCAGAGCTTTACTAACTCGCTGTAGCACTTACAAGGGTGAATTTGGACTTCATTGTATTGTCCCCCCAGCCCCAAGTCTGAAGGTGCTTGCAAATAGTGAGATTACACTGCCACTCAGACCCTCGGCTTTAGTCTGTCCTGATGAGTCCCAGACAACCTTCCCATTGGCACTGAGCAATTATAACTGGCTGGCACCTTCTACAAAGGGAATCAAGGGACAGGATAGCAATATACCCAAATAGAAATTACAATACACACAATACCAAGTCTGTAAGCTGACAAATATCAACCCCGAATCAGGAGACCAGATGACAGACAGAACCATATATAAAGTGCCCGATGTGTATCTATAAGGCACTGGCAGCCCAATACACTTCATCCAACACTTTATATGTAACAACTTATGGGCAATAACCCAGAGTCTGGTCTTTTAACCATACCAGGAAAGGAATGTTCTTACCTGTGGCCAGGACCTTGTCTGCTCCTGCAATGATCCCGTGGCTGAGGGAGGCTTTGCCGGAGAAATCTCCAGGGGCGCCCTGAAAGCGTCTGTCTCACCAAGGGGTCACAGCGAACAGAGGGATCTGAGTCACAGCACCAACCGAAACAGCCACGGTGTCGTTTGGATGAAACATTCCTTTAATTCGTCGTGACGGGAGCACGGGGAATCGTTCGCCACACATCCTCTCCGAAGTACAGTTTCTTCGGCTATTTATACAGTGTAACATTCAAAGTTGCTTCCCAGAAAACTACCCACCTTATTACGGCGTGAGCCTGTACCCAAATCTCACCTGACTTTTCTTTCGTGGAGCACGTCTGCCATCTAGTGTCGCTTTCGTGGCAGGAATTTGGGGCTGTGGACAATCTCATCTGATTGTCTTTACCCACTACAAGACACATCTATCACTAGTTAAAAGATAACCTCATGTTATTTTTCTACTTCAACAGTCCTTTATTTGAATTCAATTCCTAGCAAAACAACGTCTATTTATTGTGCCTTTTGAAGTATATGATGCATTTGGTTCATGTCCTTCAGGTGGACTAGTCAGCTGTTTTCAGTTATCTCAGCTTCCTTTACCCTTATTTTATGATACTAAACTGATTATAGGTTTAAGAGAAAAGCAGCCAAAATGGCAAAGTTCAGGAAAACATGCACGTTTGTGGATTAAGGTACAGCTCCTCTCCTAAGGTCAGAGACCACTAAATTCCTAAGCTAATTGAGGTAGAGATGTTGCTTCTTTGACTCACACTTAAGAGTTGGACTCAATGATCCCTGTGGGTCCCTTCCAACTCAGAATATTCCGTGAAATCATGTGGTATTTAACAAAATTATTTATTAAGAACAAGCCAAAAACCCCTGTTCTGATCTGCTTAGACAAGGAGTGGAACCAGGTTCTAAAACATTCCCATAAACGGGATTAAGGCACAAACAAGGCCAGATGCCTGATTCCAAAAAAGATAACTCAACTTTATTTTGTTACACAAAAGAGAAGAGAGAAAGAAGGGAGACAGAAAAGCAGGAAAAGCTGAGGGTGACTGTTAAAAGCACAGAACAGGAGTTTACAATCACCACAAAGGCCACTGGCACGCCAACTTAAATACCCTCCCCATGGCAGACCCTGAGTGCCCACTGGCCAGTTCACCAGTACCCAAGCAAAGTTTGCCTGGGACCAAGATGGGCCTGAGTGTCCACTGGCTGGTGCCCCAGTACCCAAGCAAGATCTGCCTGGCATACCTTATTTGGGAGAGTAAGTCCCCGCTGTGTTCTTGATTGTAACGCTTCTTATCCAAAGACCTTCCTTTTTGCTAAGAATGGCTCAGCTACCTTGGTTCACTTGCTAGGTGGTTTTGCAAGCGGCTCAGCTGGCACATCAAGCTTTTTAGCTCCATGCTCGAGGCAATGGTGAAGCAGACTCCATCTTTTAATTAGCCCATTATAACCCCTTACCTGTTAGGTGTCTTTGGAGTGGCTCTGAAATTTGTGGCACTGCAATAAGAAGTAAGAGACTTTACTCTTCTGTGAGTGTGACTTGCAGAAGGATTTTAAACTGCTCAAAAAATAAAAAGTACTTATCAGTTTTTTTGTTTGGGATTTTTTTGTTTGTTCTTGTTTTATTATTATTTTTATTTATTCCTCCTCCTCTACTTCTAATGTGGAGTTTTAGCTGGGATGAAGATAGACAGACAGTGGATTAGAGAATGGATTAGGGAGTGCTCCAGGACAGACATCTACTGTATACACACATGAAAAAGCCCTCCTGAGGTAAACATGATATCCTGGGACCTAACAACATACAGGAACAAAAGAATTAATTCATGTTAGTAGGTAAGAGAGGGCTGCAATAACCAAATTGAGTGTTTATTACAGTCCTAACAGAGCAAAGATGCTTCCCTTACATATTCTCTTCCTTTAATTATTGTTTCAAAATCTATACTGATTCCCTAAGTTCAGAACTATGCACCACTCAGTGAGAAATACAACTTCATGCCTTCATCATCTAGAAGTCCTTTTTAGCCCAGGTTTCACATAACCACAGTGCATCTCACTCAGTCAGGGAGGACATCAGATGTATTCCTGCTGGGCTCAAATCTCAGCTACTTTATTTGAAAATAATTTTCTTCAGCATTCACAAGTTCAGGTGAGTTAAATAAGCTATCAAAGGTCAGCCTTACCTGGAAAGAGGGTTCAGTTTGCTATTTAAACCAGAGGCCAGTGAAACCAATGGCTTGGTTTTGGAAATCTGAAAATGTATATGAAAGACTGCAGTTAAAAGAAGTGGCATTTGAAAGCAAAATGATAGGTATTTGCAGGAAACAATACTGTAAGAATTCCCAGATGAAAAAGAGCAGTTAAGCCCCACTATATATATGTATATATATGTGTGTGTGTGTGTATATTCATACACATACACACACACACACAGTTCTACATATAT